GTGTAGCCGGCTAAGATTCTTATAAATGTAGGACATGAGCCGTTCCATACAGTCTACGTTCGTTGCCAAGTAAATCTACTGAACGGTGACAGTGATTTGTGAAGGTTACGACGAAGAAGCTGATGCTGTTTTGCATCCCAAGAGAGTAACACTGATTCAAAGAAGATTTCTTGTGTCCGAAGCGTATTGGGGCTTTCGTGTTAGTCCGATCAGCGCAAAGAGCTGGGAAGTTTGAGTAGAGGTGCTCATCCGGTGCCGCGCTGCGGTGGAATCCCGGAATCTGAGCATAAATTTGTTCATCTGGGGCTCATTTTCCCCCTTGGTGACTGCAGTGGTAATTATAGTACTTATGCTGCTTGTTTGGGACCAGGCAGGTCAGGAGAAGTCCGGGAAGTCAGAAAGCGCCCAGGGCCACCTTCGATGCTGTGCCGGACTACACTCCGTTGCACCTGGCCACCACCCTATGGGCCAGGGCAGGGAATGATGCGGTGATTCAGCACCAGGCGCCTGTGGGCCAGGATCGGCAGAGCCTGAGACCCGAGGGATGTTGGGGACTCGTAGAATGGCTGAGCATGGCAACCCTTCCAGCCGAAATTTTCAGGGATCAGCATAGAGAAGAAGCTCCAGCGCCAGGATGCTGTAAGTTCGGTTGAGCAGAGCCGAAGGCTATCCCAGGATATCTGACGAGCTTTGTGCAGGGTCTCCCCTTCTGGCTGAATCCCTTTCCATGGAAGGTGGTGAAGATCCTCCTGGAAAATACTGCAGATCCTACTACAATGGATCTCAGCGGTGCGACTTGCAATGATCTGAGGTGTCGTGGCTGCAACAGCTGTGGTACAGCCGCGAAAGTTGTCGTTTCTTGGAATCCGAACGGTGGCTGGTGCACAGGCCACAAGGAGCCAGTGTGAGCACGCTCAGAAGTCTGCACTTGCGCAGCATCGGCATCAAAAGGGGCATGGTGGTCGCACCTTGGCATCGAGCTATTTTCGAGGCCTGGGGCCCGCTGAATGAAGCCCACGCTTGCCATGACAGACATTGCCAAGTTACAGCTAGAATCGTGGATCGGGCAGTCGGGCATTCAAAGGTACCATGCAAGTTTGAGGTGCACATGACTTGTTGTTTCGATGTTTTCCTTAGTCATCGAGCCAATGCAGGGCTCTCAAGCCAAAGCACCTATTTTTCAGACTGGTTGCAGAAGAAGATCGCGGCCTGTAGAAGTTTCAGCAAACACGGCCAGAAGGTCCAGCAACAGTAGCTCGCCAGCCCTGGCATGACCCTGCCTGTTCCTGCAAAGGAACTCAACTTGGATGCGATTGCCAAGAAGGGGGCAAAGGCAAGGTTAGAGGTGCGCCAGTCGCGGCCTCGGGAGTCGGGAGCCCTCGGTCCTGAGAGGCTCAGAGCAACGCTACCGGAGTTCCCACGCTGATAGTGATCACTGCAAGGTTCCTGGAGACTGCTGATGCGCGACGCAGCGAGTTCGTGGTGATGGCAGATGCAGAGGAGTGAGCTTTGCATTTAGGAAGGAGCGAGTCCGTCTGAATCAAGATGACTGGACACGTCGGAACTGCATAGGACCCTCAAGAAGAAGACGATCTACTTCAAATCTCGCTTCTGGTCAGGCCCCCCTGCGCGTACCCCCGCCCCCCCACTAGGCTTCTGATCACGACATAATCACCAGTTTCTGCCTGCGAGGGACACTTTGGAGGAAAGCAGGGTGCTCAAGATCCAGCAGTGTTGCGTGTCGGTGCTCGGCTGCTTGTCTTAGTGTTCGCGCTTGTTTGGCTTTCCAATGCTTTCCACACCCCGAACGTGTCGTCTGTGGCCTTGGGGACTCGGAGCTGTCACCTCTGGCCGAGGTTACCGATTCTTCCAGTGCTGCCTTCGACAAGTGCTGGACTATCTCTTCGGGACGATACAGATGCCGTCTCCAAGGCCCAACAGCCACAGACCGCCAAAGCTCCCGCTCCAAGCGAACCTCGATCTCCAGGTCCATGATGGATTCTCCCATCATCCGGTCACGAACTCTGGAAGAAGAGAGCGCGGCAGCAGAGGGATCCCTGACCGTCCAGGCGGGGCAATATGGGTCCGCTGGGTGCCTTGAAGTGTTGACAACAATTCCGCCTCAGCTCTCCACGTGCTATCGCCTCTGCGTGTTCGCACATTAAATGAGAACACTGCGTGTGAGGATGTGTGAGGTCTGACTTCAGCTTCGGCTGAGTATTGCGCCGACACAAGATACCAGTATCACAGCCGTATCACATGAGCTCGCGTTCAAGTTTGTGCAGGAGAGGACTTCAGATATCTGTAGTGAAGTAGGGTGGCACCTCCGTCGAGATAGCACAAGATAGCGCATCTATGCTCTGCAGGACTTCCGTTTGGGTGGACCCTCGAAGCGCCGGGCCGTTACCATCGCAGACTTTCATGGCGAGGATCTGGAAGTTTATTTAGGGCTCAAGAAATTGGAGCAGCTCCGTTGGATCGGTGTTGACGTCGAGATTTCACATCCTGGCCTCTCCCTGTCAGGACGTGATGAGCGATTCAGACCTGGAGCCCGGCATTCTTCCAGATGTGGTGACTTGGTATCCACGACCGTGGCCTTGAATTCGTGTTCCGTAGACGCGAAGGTTTTTTTTGTGTAGTATAGGGTTACTAGTACCTCATCATGCGAACACTTGGCACGATGACTTTTGGCATAGGCTGGCCGCAGTTTGGGACATGGCACACAGACGGTCTTTCCATGAGGACATCGAACATGCCGTGAAGATGAAGCTGAGCAACCCGCTGCGCCCTGGAAAGTTTTACCGTACCTCGGCTCTGGGAGACCTACAAAGATTACCGTGCTTGTGCGAAGATCAGCCAGAGGTTTGGTGCTCAAAATTTCATACCTCCGGCCTCGATGATGGTGATGACGATGCTGACGCTGTTGATTCTGATGACGACGATGCCATCGATCGTTACTGCGACCAGTTGCATGTGTTTCTGCAGCCTTGAGGTCCCTAGAAGCACTGTTGGGGGTCCAGGACGACACCTTGGTACCTCCAGTAGGCATTTGGGGCATGGGCCTGGGACTTTGGAGCTCAAGGGCTTCAGAGCTGGAGGCTTGAAGATGCAATGTTCGAACTGCATAAGCCTCGCTCTTCTCCTTGAGACGCTGTCAATGGCCTGGCCAACTATAACTAAAACTAAGGCCCACTTAGCTCGAGGCACGTTCGCTAGCGAAATTTGCTAACTTCCGTTGCTGGAAGCCTGTCGAGCAGACTTCATGGTGAATGATGTTTGTCAGGCTTGGACTGGTCCTCAAGCCAGCCTTCCGGGAACGACCATATCCCGACTCCTCGCCCACAACTGTGCTACCCCGTTGTGTGTGTTTTGCAAGATCACCAGCGGAACCAAGGCAAGAGAAACCGAGTTGCTGAAGGTTACTTGCTGCACTTCGCGATTGATGAGATGGTGAGAGAGGAGGACGGGCTCAGCAAGCCAGGTTCGGGGGAACTTCCTGAGCCATTAGCTGTCACAGGCTTTGCATGGTATCGACTTTTGCCTCCTCGCTCTCGTCCTTTACGAAGACAGCACAAGTCGTCGTGCGCCAACGCTGCTACAGAGGACAGGAAGTGGAATGTTCCGGCAGAAGACGTCCTTCAGCCGCTCGGCATACCTCCACGCATCTGGAGTCGCCAGACCTGAACGGAGCAGCAGCAGCAGCAGGAGCAGCAGAA